AATCAAGCATTTTAAAATCAATTTTATTTTATTTTTATTTTTTAAGTCAGGCACAGAAAGACAAATGCTGTGTGTTCTCAGCCATATGTGGAAGCTTAAAATAGTTGATCTCACAGATGTTAGACTAGTTAGTGGTCACTAGAGGGTGGAAAGCTGGTGAGTAAAGGGAGACAGAGAACAAGACCTGAAAATAGTTAGGAAGAATATGTTCCTGAGTGGTAGAGCACAGTAGGGTGATTGTAGTTTACAACAATTTATTATATATATTTTCCAAGGAGCTAGAAGAGCGGAGTTCGGAGGCTTCCAACCCAAAGAAATGATAAGTGATTTTAAAGAGACGGAAATGCTGATGCCCTGATCATATTCATGTTTTGAATTATCATATTGCACTCCATAAATATGAGCAATTATGGTGTGTCAGTTATAAATAAAAAATAAAAATTTATGTATTTTTTTAATTGATAAGCCACAGCTATACCTTTCTACAATGCAGACAGGACTGCGAAAGTTGATAGGAAGATAGTCTCCTTTCAGCTTGAGCCTTTTTCTCTGTCCTCAATTGTGTGTCTGTTTTTGTTTTTTAATATATATTCTTTTTTAGTTGTATTTGGACACAATACCTTTATTTTGTGTATTTATTTTTATGTGGTGCTGAGGATCAAACCTAGTGCCTAGTGCAAGGCAAATGCTCTACTGCTGAGCCTCAGCCCCAGCCCCTGAGTGTCTGTTTTTATCAACCACATTTGACCTCTGTTTTGTGGTCATCACGTGTGGTCATCATGTACCAAGTGCATTGAGCCATCTGAGCTACACAGCAGTCCTGGGCCTATTCCTGCAAGGTGGTATTGGGGTTTGAAAGACAGAGCTCATGTATGCTTTTCTCTAGGTTGGAGGTTGGCGATTTTTAAAATTTTATTTTATTTTCTAATTTTTAGTAAAGAGCCAGAGAGTAAAATTTTTTTCAGTTTTTCTGCTCATGTGACCTCTGTTACAACCACTTAGCTCAGCCATTGAGCCTGAAAGCATTAGTAGAGAATACATAATGGATGAACCCGGCTGTGTGCCAGTAAAACTTTATTTAAAAAAAAAAAAAGGCAGTGGGCTGAATTTGGCTCATAGACTATGATTTGTCAACTCCTGCTCTAGCAAGCTGTCCTTAGGTCTCTGCAGGGGTTTGGTTCCAGGAACCTGCAGGGATACCAAACCCCTTGGATGCTCAAGTCCCTTATATAAAATGGCCTAATATTTGCATTGAATTAATGCACATCCTCTTATATACTACAAATCCTGTCTAGATAATTTATAATACCTAATACAATATAAATATTATGTACACAGTAGTTATATGATATTATTTAGAGAACCAGTACATACATGCTTAGTACTGGTGCAATTATTATTATTATTATTATTATTTTTGGTTTTGGAGCTGGGAATTGAACCCAGGGCCTGGCACATGCTAAGCACACCTTCTACTATTGAATATTTTTGATTTTAGGTTGGTTGAGTCTGTGGATGTAGAATTGCAGATATGGAGGCCACCTGTGCTGTCCTACATCTTATAAGGAAGAAGAAAGGAAAGAGTCAAAACTCCAGGCTCTGGAGTTTTCCTGTCTAGTTTGGATTTCAGCTGAACACTCTCTTGGTGTCCAGGGGCAAATCTGTGCTACCATTTAATGACTGGGAACTTAATAAATGAGGAGAGGGAGGAATTGTCCTTTTCCTGCATAGTTTCTGGTTTGTGACTATGAGTTTTTTACAGCAAGGTGAGAAGCAGCCTCATGTCTCAGGTGACCTGTCCATCTGGAGCAGAATCCCTCCTGGGCTGCAGGTTGGAAACCAGGTTCAGACCTGGAGGATGCAGGGGCCTTGACTGAGGCAGACATCCCATCCCTTGGAAGAAGATGAGGAGCAGAGGAGGACAAGAAGATAGTGATTCCAGAGAAACAGCTGCTTAGCCAGTGGCAGGAAAAAGAAACCTAGGGACCTACCTAATGGTGGAACTGAAGCCACCAAGAGATGCTCTGCCATGACCTGGATGTTTCAGGCATTGGGAGTGAGGAGGGGTGGCAGGGGCATGATCCCTCAGAGAGTAGCCTTTATAAGTGTCACAATCACGGGTAAACCAGGTAAACAAATCAGGGACACAGTCCAGCACAGGGTACAATACTGAATGTCTTCTGTTGGTTTGGAGAGCTTTTCCGCTGAGTTGGATGAATCTGGCGTATTGCTCAGGAATCAGACATCCACTCAAGGGGAAACTGAAAGGAATTTAAGATAAGACTCTTGGCACTTGGGGATCACATGGAGGGGTGGTGGGCAGAGACATTATCTTCGGGATTGAACAGGCAGGGCAGGGACTCAAAGGAGAGCTTTGGCTGTAGCAGAGGACTGTCCCATGGGACATGGTCACAGATAGAGGAATGGAAGGCTTCATCTTCATTTCCTCCCACCCTTTATTCTCCTGCCATATTTCTTTGCTGCCTTGATAGAGAGACCAATGGTTGGGGGAGCCTGGGAGTCTATCTAAAGAATTCTTTCTGCACCTGGCACAGGGTTGCAGCCATTCTTGCTGGGAGTAGGTCAGTGGCTTCTTCCCCAGGCAAGGAGGCTCAGTGCCCAGAGCCCAGGATATTTTCAGGGACCCATAGAAACAAACATTTTCATTTCTTTAAAAATAAGAAGAAAGCATTGAACTTTTAGGTCAAAGAAAATGATCCAATATATAATATTAATAGATCTATTTTTTCTTGTAGGAGTTGAATTGCAGAAAGTACTTGTTTCATTAATCATTTTAAAATTGAAATGTCAACATTTTTCTCATGACATATTTTCCTCATGAGCTTAAGCAAAATGTTATCACTGCCATACATGTAATGTGATGGATGCATAACCTGTGTCAATTTAGCCACATTGATCTATTTTGGACAGTGCCCATTCTCATCTAGAATGAGCTTTGATAGAAAATTTTTAAAATTGATGTGAAATTCAGATAAGATCAAACATTGAAAGTGGCACTCAGTGGCATTTAGTACTTTCTCAATGTTGTACAGTCATCATCTCCATCTAGCTCCAAAATAACGTATCAGCAGGTGTGGTGGTGTGTGCTTGTAATTCCAGCTACTTGGGAAACTGAAGCAGGAGGGTTGTAAGTTCAAGGCCATCCTGGGCAATAGTGAGATCCCATCTCAAAAGCCAACCAATTGCTGGGAGCAGTGGTGCATTCCTGTAATCTCAGAGGCTTGGGAGACTGAGGCAGGAGGATCGCAAGTTCAAAGCCAGCCTCAGCAAAGGCAAGGTGCTAAGCAACTCAGTGAGACCCTGTCTCTAAATAAAATGCAAAATAGGGCTGGGTATGTGGCTCAGCGTCCAAGTGCCCCTGAGCTTAATCCCCGATTCCCTCTGCCCTCCCAAAAAAACCCCCACCCAAAACCCACCAATCAACAAACAGAATAATAGTCATAAGTTTGTTGTCTTGCAGTGGGGGCAATGTCCTGATAAATCCCTTGTAAGCTGAAAATACTGTAAGTCAAAAATGCATGTTAGAGCTGGGCATGTAAGTCAATGATAGAGCACTTGACCATCTCATGTGAGGCCCTGGGTTTCATCCCCAGCACTGGGGTGAAAAAAAAAAAGCCTCGAATCTACCACTGAATACCAGAGCTTAGCAACACAGCACACTGTGGAACGTGGGTTGTTTCTGCTCATGATGGCCAGATTGGCTGGTAGCTGGGGCTTACTGCTGCCTCCCAGTGTCACCCAGCAGTGTCATGGTACTTATCATAGCCTGGGAAAAGATCAAAATTAAACATTCAAAGTACGATTTCTAGGCAGAATAGAATAGACAATATGATTGATGTATGTACATTCCATGTATGTATTATATATCAAAATGCATTCTACTGTCATGTATGACTAAAAAAAATAAAAATTAAAAACAAAACAAAACAAAAAAAACCCCAAAGTACGATTTCTACCAAATATGTTTCACTTTGAAACATCGGAAAGCTGAAACATTGTAAGTCAAGATTATCTGTATTTTCCTTTACATTAATGTAGTTCCAATTGAACTGCATTAATTTAAATTCAACATATTTTTTTTTTTTGAGAAAGGAGTCCATGAAGGGAAAATTTCTCAGGTCAATGAAAGTAACCATTTCTAAGCTGCTCCATACGTTTGAGGTATTTAGTTGGGAAATGGATGGGCAGGTTTTATTTTTATATGTGTTTTATTTATATTTATGAAAAACAACATTCCAGGTAGCATTCTGAAGTTTCTATTTTGGATACTTTTTAAAAGATAATACTTTTTACAAGGATATCTGGATATGGCCAAATGTAAGAAACACTAGTGTCTGAAGTGAGAAGCATCCGAGTTTAGTGCCTGAGACCCTGGAGAGGCTCATGAATATCACAGTGGAGACAAGAATTGTCACTGTTGCTCTCCCTGTGGCTTCCCCTTCCCTCTGTTGCTCACCTGAGCATTCACACAGGCAGCTACATTTATTGGGTGTCCTCTGTTTGCCAGGTAGCTGCAGATTTGTCATCGTGGAAAGCTGACTCTGGTTATCTCCAGGTCAGACACCTAACTATATTAACTTTGGGACTGGCCTGAAGGTGCTTTGTCCAGGTCTCTGCATGCAATTGGCATTCAGCAATTTGGATCGAGAGGTGGGGCAGCCCCCCAAATTCTTCTAATGGTGAAATATGGAGGGGACTGAAGCCATAAATGGCGAAAGTGTTAATAATTTTATGGCTTTCTTTCCCGGCTCTTCCCAGCTATGCCCAGGAATGATTCTGGAGACCTTGACCCTTTGCTGTCAGGACATGACTTTTGAACTCCAGGCAGGGTCCCAGGTGTCCTAGCAAGGGCACAGCCCAACAGATGGACACATCTTTCCCTTGCCTTGTGAGCTTCCTCCAGTGCCCACCATCCTCCCATCCTTCCCCTTCCACCACTCCTGCCTTCAGACCTGGGCTCCTCTGTTCCCGCAGGTAGACCATGAGCAGCCACGGCAACAGCCTGTTTCTGCGGGAGAGCGGCCAGCGCCTTGGCGGGGTGGGCTGGCTGCAGGGGCTGCAGGACAGCATGCAGCAGAGAGCGCTGCGCACGCGCCTGCGCCTGCAGACCATGACTCGAGAGCACGTGCTGCGCTTCCTGCGCCGGAATGCCTTCATCCTGCTCACTGTCAGCGCGGTGGTCATAGGTGAGCCCGGCTTCCGGGAGGGCGGGGACTTCCGGGAAACGTCCTGCTTGCATGTGTCTTTGTTCCAGCCGGCCACTCTCACCTGCACACACGTCCCACCTGCCACTGTTCCAACCTCCTATGTGTGCACACATTGTCACATATGTACATGTGTACTGTACACAGTTTACACGTGCACAAACATGAACATATTTTATGGGTGCTCAGAATTTACAGGTGCAAATTCCTGTGCACACTTACACAAATATACAGTTGTCTTGTGGTACCAGAAGCAGAGCCAGAGGATATGGAGGGCTGAATGTATTAGAACTTACAAGCACATCCATTCCCACATGGGCATTCTCCTGAACATATATCTACAGACTTAAGTGTTTAAATATATGTACACCCCCCGGGTTTGAAAATAGTAACATATGCACAAGTCTCGTGTATGGACACATCCAAGAAAATGCAGGTGCATATTCACGTGTATGGGCTTACATTCACAGGCAGATGTATAAGCTCACAAATGAGCGTGCACTCACATGTGCATGCATGTGTGTGCTTGAATGGGTGAAAACATCTGCACACGTATCAATATGTAACAAATCTTACATTTCTGCAATGTACACCTGTGCCAATGTGCACACAAGTGCATGTACTTGTAGAACGTTTTTCTCTTTCTCTCACTGATCCCCCTACCACAAGCCTTCTTGGAATGGGTGGGTCCTGTCTGGGCTGAGTGACCCACACTCCACTACATGGACCCCTCTTTTTGGCTCTAGGGGTCAGCCTAGCCTTTGCTTTGCGCCCGTACCAGCTCACCTACCGTCAGATCAAGTATTTCTCCTTCCCTGGTGAGCTTCTCATGAGAATGCTGCAGATGCTGGTGCTGCCCCTCATTGTCTCCAGCCTGGTCACAGGTGAGAGAGCCCAGGCTCGTGTTGACCTTCAAGACCCACTCAGAACCCAGTCTTGAACCTAGAGCCAAGACAGTTCCCAGCATGGGAGCTTGGGATCACCTTTCCAACTCAGCAACTCAAACATGGAGCCTGGCGTGGCCCACGGTCCTGACCAAAACCCAGGTCCTTGACTAGAACCCAGAGTGAGGTTCCTGCTCCTAGGTACCCACAGCACTTATCCCAGGAGCTTTCCTGTATGTCTCTTTGGAGGTAAAATGCCAGCCTTCAGGGCTCAAGTTATCCAGAGGGGAAGGAAAGGTGGTGGAGGGAGGGATGGGCAGCTAAGGGAGGTAGCTGGGCTAGAGGGTGGATGGGCAAGAGGTGGATGTGAATAGGGTATACAAGGTTAGTAAGGTGGAGGTGCCAGGATGCGGGGTAGGGAAGGGAGTGGGATGGGAGCACCAACAGTATCTACTCAGCCTACAGTGAGGTGGGTGGAGAGCTGTGATTGGGTGGACTGTGGGATAAGGAGGAGGATGAAGATGAGGTTATGTGCAAATAGGAGTCAGTAGAGTTGGGGTTGAAAAGATTGGCTTGAGTTAGAGGGAAGGTAGTGTGGATGGTGGAGTTGTGTTTGGGGTAAAGAATGGGGTGGGATGTGAAGGTGTTTATGGAAAATAGAATGGGAATGGGATGGTGGTGTGGATGAATTGATTGTGGGGGACCCTGGGTGAGGTGTAGGGGGACAGGATGTTTGGGGCAGTGGTTGCTGAGTTGGTGGTTTGGGAGGTGGAACAGATGGATGGGGAGTAGGTGATAGGGTATGAATGAGGATACGGGGGCTGCACTGTCTGTCCTCAGGTATGGCATCCTTGGACAACAAGGCAACAGGGCGGATGGGCATGAGGGCAGCTGTGTACTACATGGTGACCACGGTCATTGCGGTCTTCATTGGCATCCTCATGGTCACCATCATCCATCCTGGGAAGGGCTCTAAGGAGGGGCTGCATCGCGAGGGCCGCATTGAGACCATCCCCACAGCTGACGCCTTCATGGACCTGGTCAGGTGATGTTCTAATTTTGATGGGATTTCCGGATGAACATGCAGCAAGGCAGGCAAACCCATCCTGGAAATGGTGACACCCCTTGGTTCCTATTTTTTGGTACCTATTTGTTGCCCTTTGCCCTTGCACATATCCTCCAAGAGAGCTAGGATATGATCTTTGTACCCTTAGGCTGGGGGAGGCTATAGCTGCAGTGTCTTGGAGCCCAAGCTCCATTTGAGGGTGAATGATCCTTTTATGCAGCAAGATTTTTTAGACAGAAAATCAAGGTTGGCAGTATTTCTGCCCTAGTCACCAGCTAGGGCATTACATGGACTTGGATGATTTTTAGGAACTGTCTCTGGTGTTTTGGGGTCTCATTGGATTGAAGTCTTGAGGTGATATAGGGGTCAGATAGACCTGGATCTGAGGTTTGTCTTAGTCTATTTTCTGTTACTACAACAGGATACCCGAGGCTGGATGAGTTGTAAGGAGCAAAGTTTTATTTAGCTAACATTCTGGAGGCTGGGAAGTCAAACAACATGGTGTTGGTATCTGGTGAGGGCCTTCTTGCTGCATTAGAACATGGCGGAGGGCATCCCATGGTGAGACAGAGCAAGTGTGTTAGAGAGAGCCTACTTTTATAACAAAGCCACTCCTCATTAATCCCTAAAGCCCTTGATCCATGAATGGATTAACCCATCTACGAGAGCCAAGCCAGCATGACCTAATCATCTCTTTGAGGGCCCCACTTCCCAATACTCTGCAATCAATTTTCACCATGAGTTTTGGAGGGAACAAACCCTAGGCAAACCACAGCTAGGCCCATCTGCACCTTTTAGCAGCTGTGGGGCTTTGGACAACTACATAAGGCCCTCCAGTAAAGACCTGTTAAATCAGATGGTGTAGGTCAGGTACCTCACTCAGCATTTGGCCTAGACTAAGCATTCCTATGTTGGTTGACATTATTATTATCGTTGTTATTATTACAAGTATCGCCCCAGGCTCTCTTCCAAGGTCTAACCACTTTTCCTTCCTTTGATGTTTTTCTGCAGAAATATGTTTCCACCCAACCTTGTGGAGGCCTGCTTCAAACAGGTCAGTGGGAAGCACCCAGTTGGATCAAGGTGGCTGGGAGGGCCATGGTGGGGCCTGTTGCTGGGTGGGTGACCCAAGCCTGAGGGGTGGGAAAAAGCAGCTGAGAGAGGGACGGGCAGGAGGGGCCTATGGAGGAATCCAGGAGAATGGATCGAGTTCCCTCAGGTGTGATGATCAGGACAAGAGGACTTAGGCCCAGGGCAGCCTGGGCTGGGGTAGGGATTCCAGGACTTCTGACCACACACAGTGAAGAGAGAGGCCTTAAAGTCTGGCTGAGCACGGCCCAGGGAGCTTATGAAAATGCGGAATCTACACTTACTCTTTCATGCTTGGTTATTCACGCCCTCATTTGTCTATTCATTCACTCATTTTTCAACGCTTTTTTTAATTTTAAAAAATTTGTTTTTTGATTAGCAAAAAGTATATAGTTGTCCTTTGATATCAGGAGGGAATTGGTTCCCTGAAGATTATAAAATCTGGGAATGCTCGAGTCTCGATATAAAATGGCAGAGTGTTTGCATAGAACCTGTGCAGTCCTCCCAGAGACTTTAAATCGACTCTAGATAACATGTCATGCCTAAAGCAATGCAAACACAATGAGAATAGTTGTTGTACTGCATTGTTTAGGGAATAGTGACAAGAAGAAGTCTGTACATGTTAAGTTCACAGCCAGTTTCCCTCCTCCAAATATTTTTGATCCATGGTTAATTGAACCCATGAAAGGGAATCCACAGATGTGGAGGGCCAACTGTCTATTTATGGGGCATAAATATGTATACATTGTGGAACTGCTAAATTGAACTAATTAACATATACATTACCTCACATGCTCATTTTTGTGTTGAGAACACTTGACGTCTACTCTCAGTGATTTTCACAGTACAGTGTTATTAACTAGCACCACCCTGTTGTACAATGTATTTCTTGAACTTTTTCCTACCTGAGATTTTGTGCCCTTTGATCAACATCTCCCTAACTTTTCCCCACCAACCAACCTAGACTTGGGTGACCATTCTCTTATTTCAATGATATTACCTTTTGTGGATTTCATGTACGTCTGAGATCATATAGTGTTTGTCTTTCTATGTCTGGCTTATTTCACTAAGCACAGTGTCTTCTATTGGCATCCAAGTTGTTGCAAATTTCAAGGTTTTCTTTTTATTTTTGAAGGCACAATAGTATTCTATCATGAATATATTCTACATTTTCTTTATCCATTTGTCCATTGGTAGAGACAGGTTGATTGCATAGCTTGGCTGTTGTGAATAGTGCTGCAGGGAGTGTGGGAATGCAGGAACAGGTTGTGTATCCCTTATTTGAAGTGCGTGGGATCAGAAGTGTTTTGGATTTTTGACTTTATCAGATTTTGGAATATTTGCATATACATAATGTGCTATCTTGGCGATAGGACCCAAATAGAAGCATGAAATTCATTTATGTTTCATGCATACCTCCTATGTAGTCTGAAGGTGATGTTTATGCAACACTTTCAATGCATCTATGTTTTGATGGTGACTTGTCACATGAAGTCAGGCATGTGGAATTTTCCACATGCATCATGTCAGTGCTTAAAAAATTTCAGATTTTGGAACATTTTGGATTTTGGATTTTCGGACTAGGGATGCTCCATCTGCATCTCCTCGTGATTCTGATTTGCTGGATCATATGGTGTTCTAATTTTAATGTTTTGGGGACCCTCCGTTCCATATTCTGTCACGGCTGTAGTAATTAATTCACTCCTCCTTCTATGCCTTGGCCCCGTTCTCCTCAGCAATAAGACTTTCTGGGGTGGGGAACCAGGAATTGGTGTTTTTAGGACTTTCTCCAGGTGACTCTGCTTCTGAGTCTGGGCCCCATCTCTCTGCATTTCAGTTCAAGACACAGTACAGCACGAGGGTGGTGACCAGGACCGTGGTGCGGACAGAGAATGGGTCTGAGCTGGGTGCCTCCATGCTGCCTCCGACCTCAATGGAAAATGAAACCAGCATCCTGGAAAATGTCACTCGGGCCTTGGGCACCCTGCAGGAGGTGCTCAGCTTTGAGGAGACCGTGCCTGTGCCGGGTTCAGCCAACGGTATCAATGCCTTGGGCCTCGTGGTCTTCTCTGTGGCCTTTGGGCTGGTCATTGGTGGCATGAAACACAAGGGCCGGGTCCTGAGGGACTTCTTTGACAGCCTCAATGAGGCTATTATGAGGCTGGTGGGCATCATCATCTGGTGAGTGCTGGGCTGTCCCCCGGGGCGGTGGTGTTGGTACACGGGAAGGGCGGAGCCAGGGCTGGGACCAGTCAGGCTGTGTGGAAGTTGAAGTGATTGGGGACATTTGACCAAAGTCGCTCATCTACTCTATGTATTGGTTAATTCACTCGCAAACTCACTAACTCATCATGTATTTCCGCACTGAATTATTCACTTGTTGACTCTCTTCTTTGTGCATTCACTCATTCTTCTGTGTGTTGACCAATTGTTCATTCATTCATTCATTGAAACTCATTCATCTATATTCGTTCTTCCACGCACACCAAACATACTGTGGATTTTATTCCTGTATTAGTCTGTTTTTCATTACTATAACTAAATGCCTGAGGTTGGATAACTTCATAAAAAAGAGGTTTATTTAGCATATAGTTCTGTTGGTTCAAGGACATGGTGCCTGCATTAGCTTGACTGTTTAGGATCTCCCAGTAGATGGCACACCCAAGAGCCAAAGATTATATCACAAGACAGGAAGCCAGAGAGGGATTGAGAGGTTAGGCTGGTTCTTACAACAACTCTCACTGGAACTAACTCAGAATCCCGTAAGCACAGCCTCGATCCCTTCTAAGTGCAATGCCCCCATTAACCTAAGGATCTCCCACTGGGCCCCACCTCTTAAAGGTCCCACTACCCTTAACATCGCCACCCGGGGGACCAGACTCCCAGTACATGAACTCTTGGGGAGTGTAAATCATATCCAAGCATCATCCCAAATAATTTGAAAGTTGTGTAGGAGACTTTAGGCCAATTTGACAGCTTGGAAAGTTTTCTGATGGGAATAGAAGGGAAAGCCTATCAAGAATAAGCAGAGAATTAACGGGGAGTGTTGGAGGCCCAACAGAACTGGGAACCATGAATTTACAGTGGTGTCATTGGCCTGGTTTGGCAAAATGTGCAGGAGTGCCAGGTGACTGAGTATCAGAGGTAAGAAGTCACGTGCAATTGATCCAAGATTGAGGCGTTTTGCAGGGGGTGAAGCAGAAGGATGGAGGCCACGGAGAAGCGTAAGACAGGTCTTGGGGTTTGACTTGGAGGGGATTCTGCAACCACGTACCAGAGCTCACTCCAGCCAGCTTAGGAAACACAGATAGGGCCGGAGAAGTCCCCTGCATCCTCCTTTTTTGACCCAAGCTATTGCGCTGACTTTCCAAGTGGTTCCCACCTCCTCCGTTACGTTCACCGTGAGAGTGATCAAGAAGGACTTCCATTCCTGAAGACAGAGGAGTTAGCAGTGGCAGCCTGGGGGACAGACCACAGGCAGAAGCTCACAGGATTGAGTGACCGGCTGGTTTGTGTGCGCTGTGGTCTCCATGTGTCCCCCAAAAGTCCATGTGTTGGAAACTTAATCCTCAAAAATATATTGATGGTATTCAGAGGAAGAGCCTTTGGGAGGTAATTAGGGTTAAATGAAGTCATAAGAGTGGGGTTTTGTGATGGGGCTAGTGGCTTTATAAGAAGAGGAGTGGAGACCTGAGCTGACGGGCTCCGTGCTTGTGTCACGTGATGCCCTCTGCCATGTGTTGCAAGAAGGCCCCCCCAGAGGCTGGAACCTTGGTACTGGATTCCCAGCCTCCCAAATGTGAGAAATTAATTTTCTGTACAAATTCCCCAGCCTCAGCGCGGTGTTTTGTTATAGCAACAGCAATGGACTAAGGCCGTGGGAAAGGCAGTTGGGCCCCGAGGATCCTGCTTCCTTCTCCTCCTCTTTTCCTTCTCCCTCAGGGACTTTGCCCTGGGCCGCAGAGCTTCCCTCCAGATGCCCACGGTTCCTTCTCACCATTCAGCGCTCCACTTTAGTCACTTCTCCTGAGAAGTCCTGCTTGACCACCCACTTGTCACAACCTGGCGTTTGTTATTGCGGTGGTCCCCTCTGATCCACTGTTTCACTTTCTGTGATTTCAGTTACCCACGGTAAACCAGCGTCCAACAATATCAGGTGGAAAATTCCAGAAATAAGCAGTTCATGAGTTTTAAATAACCGTCATTACAGCAAGTTGCTGTAATATGATTCATTGTTTCATTGGCTATTGTCTCTCCCTGTGCCTAATTTAATTTTAAAGTTTAACTTATTAAACTTTACCATTGGTATGTATTTATTGGGGGGAAAACATGGAATATATATATAGGCTCCAGCACTGTCCTCAGTTTCAGGCTTCCGAGGACCGTCTCAGAACATGTCCCCCAAGGATTTTGCGTTTCTATGAGTACCTCCTGTTTTCCCCATTAGAATGTGTCTTAGTGCATTTGGACTATAGCAAAAATAGTCACAGACTGGGTGACTTACACAAGGAACATTCATTTCTCACAGTCCTAGAGGGTGGGAAATTCCATCCAGATCATGGCACCCACAGATTCAGTGTGTGGGGAGGGCTGTTCTGGTTCAGGGACCGTGTCTTCTCCCCGAGTCTTCCCATGGTGGAAAGAGCAAAGCACCTCTCTTTTATATAAATGCTCATCCATCATTGAGCCCTGCCCTCATGACTTCTTAAAGTCCCTGCATCCTAATGCCACACCTTAGGGATTCGGATCTCAACACGTGTTTTTTTTTTTTTGGGGGGGGGGGCGGAATAGGGCACCAACATTCAGTCGCTGGCCACGTGTAAGTGCCGTGAGGACAGGGAGCATGCCCCTGGAAAACAGTGCTCATTAGGTAGTTGCTGAATGAGTGGAGAATACAGAGGTGATTTCGAGGTGTCCGTAGGAGAAGCGGTGACAGGACCCAGGCTGGGGAGGCAGGAGACCATGCACTGATGGGAGAGGGGTAAGAAGTACAGATATGGAATGGAGAGTTGGGGGCAGCAGACAATGATGTTCAGAAGAGGTCAGAAGTGTCCCTGCACTGCTTAGGGTAGGGGTCCTGGAGTTGGGTGGGGAGGCCTGGAGTGGGGAGTGGGATGAAGCCCTCATAAGGTGGCTGGCATGCCCTGGCCCCGTGGGAACTCTGGTGTGGGGCGAGTGTGAGTGAGTGGCAGGAGGAGGTAGGGTGTGTTGTGGGCCTGGAGGGGAGGTGGGGAGGGATCCCTGACAGGTGTGTGGCTTGCCCAGGTATGCACCTGTGGGCATCCTGTTCCTGATTGCTGGGAAGATTCTGGAAATGGAAGACATGGCCGTCCTTGGGGGTCAGCTGGGCATGTACACACTGACTGTCATCGTGGGCCTGTTCCTCCACGCTGGCGGCGTCCTGCCCCTCATCTACTTCCTCGTCACCCACCGGAACCCCTTCCCCTTTATTGGGGGGGTGCTGCAGGCCCTCATCACTGCCATGGGCACATCTTCCAGGTATGGCCGTGCTCCCCACTCTCCCTCCTCCTCTCTTCCATGGGCTCTCCAGGGTCCCGCTCTCCCCCTACCATTAACATCTTCTGGTTGCACAGTCATGTCACAGGCTCTTGGAGACCCAGGTGGCCATTACTTATTTCCTATGGAGGAGAACTCATTTTATATGGAGGGGCCAATTTTGAGTTTACAGATGAAGGTTCCAGAATGCCCTGGGAGCTCAGTCATTTACTAGCCCAAAGAAAGAAAGAGTCTCATCTTCCCTTGAGATAGTGTCTGGAAGCTCTTTTGACTTCCTTGTGCACTTTTTGGTGCTTTTAGGGGGCTCTTTATTAGCCCCCCTCATTAATCCCCATCATTAAAATTCAAAACAATTTGAGAAGATATGCAAGAGCCAAATAGATGGGAAAAAATGTCATTTTTATTGCTCATAATGCTCATTGAAGAACGTGCCTCTTTGATTGGTAGCTAAATAAGATTGGTGCCACTACACCCCCTGGTCACCATGGAGCTGGACACCCAGGCATGCTCCACGAGTCCTGGTATTTCATGGCATGATATAAAGCTGACCAGACAGAGCACACATCCTGTGGCAAGCTGACCCCCAAAGAGATGCCCACTCCTTCCGCTAAACTCACCCATTAATGGAGTCACTCTGGCTTTTCTGGGTATTGGTGGAGGGTTAGTGTAGTTGGGGTTTATCCCAGAGCACCATGAGGCAGAGGGCAATTGGGGTCTTCTGTGATACCCTTGTCGTAGTCCCCAGGTGTGGGAGGTCAGCAATCTGGGACTGGACTGTTGGCTTTTATGCCATTGGCTTTAAGTGAGTCAAGAGGCCTCAACCCTGGGTTGTCTGCAAGGCCGAGTTCTCCCTTCATGAGGAGGCGCACCCCTCTCCATCTGGATGGTTGTGCCCATGCCCTCCTCCTCTTGCTTGTGTTCTTACCTGGCCCCTCCGTGTTCCTGAGGGGAGTCCTCCTTGGGTCCAGTGCTACACCACTCTCCCCTGCCACTCCCTGTGTCTTTCTCCCAGCTCTGCCACCCTGCCCATCACCTTCCGCTGCCTGGAGGAGGGCCTGGGTATAGACCGCCGCATCACCCGATTTGTGCTGCCGGTGGGGGCCACCGTCAACATGGATGGCACGGCCCTCTATGAGGCCTTGGCTGCCATTTTTATTGCTCAAGTCAACAACTATGAGCTCAACCTGGGCCAGATCACCACAATCAGGTGAGGTGCCTCAGTTGGGACCTGGGAGGTCATCAGTGTGACGGTGGGAGGAGGGACCCAGAACTGGCCATCAGGGGAGACCTCAGATATTGCAAAGGGGAAATGGGGAGAGCCCAATGCTGGATGAGGTTAAAGGTGAGACTTTGCCACCTGAGGCTGTCAACAGCCCACAAGAGGGTGCTGGACATTTCTCCCCTTGCATGCTGTTGAGAGACATCCCTTTTCCCAGAATTTTCCAAAGTGTGGCTGGAATATCCTAATAGCCCAAAGTTTGTGTTATAATTATAGATTCCTTGGTTCCATCACATCTAGAGAAAAACCACAGATGTAGGGAAGCATGCCACAAAGATAGTTTCAAATTTAAAAATTCTTTTGATCAAGGTCCCAAATAGCAGAATGAGTACTTCTCACGGGAAACCATTAGTTTTAGTGAAGTTATCAGAAAAGGTGAGGATGGGAGACTTTTGAGGGGGTGTTCTTTGGTGGATCTGGGGACTTGAGCTTCTTCCTACAGAGAGACCTTGGTGATGATGGCTTGCATGAGACCTACTAGGTAATGCCTCATACGTTAGCAGCAGGCAGTGATCGACTGCATGGAGAGTCCTAGGTTGGACCTACTCTAACTCAACCCAAAGGCTTTTGAGGTGGTCCTGATAGAATCAGCTCAACCTATCCAGAGGGGGCTGCCTGCCTCCCAAGGGCTCCCACAGGTCACTGTTTATTCCAGGGCCAGGGGTTGCAAGGGTAGGACTCCCTCACCATTCTGTCCTCTTTGAGACCCATTCATAAGGCTCTGCTCCCGCCAAAGGAAACCAAATCCAAACAGGATAAACTCAGGAGAAATTATGTGGCTTTTAGAAAATAGAATTTTACTTTTTATTAAAAAAATATTTTATCTATGTGGTTGCTGGTGCTGGGGCTTGAACCCAGGGCCTTCACGTGGAATTTTACTTCCTGGATATATTTTTGATAGCAGTAACTGACACCTTGAAGCACATATCATGTCCAAGCACTGTGCTCCTCTGTTGCTCATAGTAAGAAGGTCGGCACATGTCCTGCACTCTACAGAGGAGGAAAGGGAGACTCTGGGTTTAGGTCCAGTGTTGGACAGCTCATGCCTTGAGTCTGCTGGACTCCACAGTCCATGCTCTGTCACCAGTCCCAGCATTTGCTCAACCATTGATCACATTGGTTCTGACAGAGCCATCCTCTGGGCTAAGCATCTCCTGGAACTCCATGTTGACAATTTAATTTTTTCCACCCTTTTTTATTGGTGCATTATAGCTGTACATATTGATGGAATTTGTTGTTACATATTCATACATGCACACAATGTAACAATATAATTCAACCAATATCACTGTCCAGCACTTCTTCCCTTTGCTGATGTTGAAAATTTTAGAATCTGCTAAGAGGTTTCAGAGGCCACCAGGCAGAGGGTGGTGCCCACAGGGTACTAGTACCTTTCCTGGTAGCGCATGGGCTTGTAGAATCCTTTTAGGCAAAGTTGGGCAATCAGAGTTGATACAGGATTTAAGATCTAGCCCATCCCTAGATCTGCTCTCTTTTCTTTGTTTATTTTTAAAAACCAATAAGTTTGAGGAAGAGTTTAGGCTCTAGCACTGGACATTTCTAGACTCAGGATGGTCCAGAATGTTCCCATCTCTAAAGTAGTGAGCTATATTTAACTACTTTTCTTTTTCTTTTTGGTAGTGGGGATGGAACCCAGAGGCATTTTACCACTCAGCCATGTCTCCAGTCCTTTTATTTTTTATTTTGAGAAGGGTCTCACTGAGTTGCTTAGGGCCTCACTAAGTTGCTGAGGCTGGCCTTGAACCTGCCATCCTCCTGCCTCAGCCTCCCAGATTGCTGGGATGACAGGTGTGTGCCACCTCACCCAGCATACTACTTTTCTTTTAAAAACTTCTGTCCTTCCCCCCCCCCCCCCCTTGGCATTATTGAAGTATAACTGACAAATAAAACTCATACATATTTTAGGTGCACAATGTGATTTGATATATGCATACACATTGTAAAATGATGATCTCCATCAGGCCAATGAACATCCATTGCTTCACATGGTCACCCCCACTTCTTCCATTTCTTTGGGTAGCGAAAACACTAAACAGCCACTCTTTTTGCAAACTTCAAGTATACAGTAGCATATCAGTAATTATCGTCACCATGCATCAGATCCCAGAACTTAGTTCATCTTATAACTGAAACTCTGACCAACCTCTCTGCATTTTTATCCCTAAACCTCCTTATCCTGGGGAGTCACCATTCTACTTTCTGCTTCCGAGATTTCTGACTTTCTTTAGAGACCATGCATGAGGGAGATCATGCATGAGCAGGATTTTCCTTTCTGCACTGGCTCAGGAATTTTTAAGATGCCTCGGGAAACTGACCCCTCCCCTTCTCTCTCTCTCTCTCTCTCTCTCTCTCTCTCTCTCTCCACCCTCTCTTCCTTCCTCCTGGTTTCCTGTATTCTCTCTCCACTTGCAGCATCACGGCCACAGCGGCCAGCGTTGGGGCTGCTGGCATCCCCCAGGCCGGCCTGGTCACCATGGTCATTGTGCTCACGTCTGTTGGGCTGCCCACGGAAGATATCACACTGATCATAGCTGTGGACTGGTTCCTGTGAGTGTTTTTGGGTCGGACCCTGGCGCCAGCTCTCCCCGCCCCACTGTTTTGTGATCCAGCAGGGACAGAGTTCTAGAATTTTAAAGAAAGGGGTCCTTGGAGAGTCCTCGGCCTGTGGACCCCAAAGTCCATAAAGTTAATAGTGGGAAACAGCAGGGAGGAGACAAACCATGAGGGTTTTACCATCGACCAGAACAGCTCCTTTTTGACCTGTTTCATGTATAAATCATAAGAAGGTGCTCCATGGCATGGTCTGGCTTTGTATCATACAAAAAATAGGTGTTTTTTTTTTTCCTCTCTGGTAAAAATTTTTAATTTCAAAACCAAAAAGAATTTTGTAAGTGAGAAGAAAACATAGGTTACCTACAACACTAAGTCGGAAGGAATTTTGATTGATGAATTTCACCTTTCAGTGATGGATAAAATAATTTTGAGGGCTAAATCTTGGTGGGTTTATGAGTTAAAATGTTGTACCTAGTAAAATGCCACTTTTATGTGAAGACAATAGGAAAGTATTTTTAGATAGATAAGGACTGTTCTGTCCTCCCTCCCAGCTGTCCTTCCTTCCTTCCTTCCTTCCTTCCTTCCTTCCTTCCTTCCTTCCTTCCTTCCTTCCTTTTATCCACCCATCCACCCATCCATAATCTGAACTTTCACCCCAGTGGGAGCTGTGGGTGGGGACTTGAGTCCCACTGGAAGTCTGTAGCCTGCCCTGGTCAGTACCTCTATTGGCCCATCATGGCTGACTCACTCATGGTGGTTACCCTCCTGATTCTATATGCATTTCAGCTTATGGCCCCTGATCGTCTCTATCAATATTTACATCTTAAAAGAAATCACGTTGCTAAGAACAAATCAGAGTGTCTCAGAGCTGGCCCAGCCTCTGTTTGTTAGGAGAGGAAACTGAGGACAGAGACGGGGAGGTCCCCCTTGAGGTCAGATGGTCAGAGACTGGACTGGAATGTGAACCCAGGGAGCCTCCCCTTATGCAGCCTTTCTTCTGTGGAGCTTTTTAAGTCCCCACTAATGGCAGCTTCTCTCTCTTCTCTACCAGGGACCGGCTTCGCACGATGACCAATGTGCTGGGGGACTCCATTGGAGCGGCCGTCATTGAGCACTTGTCCCAGAGGGAGCTGGAGTTGCAGGAGGCTGAGCTCACCCTCCCTAGCCTGGGGAAGCCCTACAAGTCACTCATGACACAAGAAAAGGGGGTGTCCAGGGGCCGGGGAGGCAACGAGAGTGCCATGTGAGGGGCCTTCAGCTCTTCTCCAAGGCAGGAAGGAAGGGAACTGGGGAGGGGACCCCCGAGGACAGTTGGCTGCTCAGCCGACCCTGGGCTGCACACACGAGTTCTGCTTGGCTTCTTTGTGAGAGGAACTAAGATAAAGGAGCAGGAGTGAAACCTATTCAGGGTCTGTGTTTGTCTCAGAGCACAGGCTGAGAGAGGGAGTGAGCCAGAAAGGGGAGGAAAATTTTCTCCTGGGTTTTGGGGGAGAGGAGGCTTCAGGTTCAACAAGAAGAAAGGTCACCTGGTGTTCTTCATTGTCTCAAGGACTGGTGGAACTGAAGAGGGTAAAGAAAAACTGTACTGTTTCTCATAATAAAAAAAAATATCCGTGGCCTTTGTGTTGGAATTCCAAAGTCCACCTTCAGATTTCAGTGATTCACCAGAAAAACCCCGAGCTTGGAAGAGCCATCTACTCATGGTCATGGTTTATCACAGTGAAAGTAAGAGATTAAACTCAGCAAAGGCAAGGAGTGGTTGGGGTAGGGTCCGTAGACCACACGTGAGTTCCTAGCTCCTTCCTGCAGTTGCGTGTGCCACGTCCTTCTCCCAGAAATGATGTGTCACAACTTGCATGGTGTACTGTCAACCAGGGATGCTCACCTGAATCCTGGTGAGCAGAGTCGGGTATTAAGGCATGGTCACATAGGTGTGATTCTATTGGTTCTTCAGTGTCTCTCAGAGGTCAGTCTGATACAGCATGGTCTAGGGCTCCAGGTGAGTAAAAATGGGCATTTGCCATAGATCACATTGTTAGCGTAGACTCCCTGAGATGGCCCAGGGCTCTGGATTACAGACACACTTATCAGGAAGGTTCCAAAGATCAGAGGCCATCTTCCAGGAGGCAGTCAAAATCCAGTCCTTTCTTTGGGATGAGGGGGCTTGGGGAACCCCAACTTCTCAGAATTAACCATTTATTGCACAAACTCCAAGGCTGTAGATGGGGAAAGCAACTTCCTGTGGGGAGGGTAGGTGGGTATAGTAGCCCCAGCTTTTGACTTCTGAGATTGAGTGACATTGTATCCCCATGCCTGGCCTCAAGAGTATCTTTGCTACATAGGGGTGGAAATAGTGTTATTTTCCTGTGACCTAAGGGACCAGGCGGGACATTAATTCATGGAGAAAACATGAGTAACATGACCGTACACTTATTTCTAAGTTAAATTAGTTCACTTGAGCACCTCCCCCGAAGACAGAGGAAGATCCAAGTGCAGGTCCATTCTTTAGGATCCTAAAACAGCCCTGGAGCAGAACAATTCAGAAAAGGTGGGGAAGGCTCCAGAGCTTCTGTAATCATGGTCACTGCAGATGTGGGACGTTTATGGTCAGAGTTTGGAAATGGTCTATGCAAAAGCATTTGCCATAGGTCACATTGTGAGCACAGACTCTGCTTCTAAACCCTCCTACGACACATATGACCCCAGGGGCCCTAGCCAGGGACTCCCAATCTCCAACCAGAATCTCAGAACCACGTTATCCTACCCCACAAGGATCTGCAGCCCCAGAGGGTCTTTGTGGGAAGGAGTCATGAAAACTCAAGGGATCATGTCATGGAGGAGGAAAGGATCCATGTTCTTCCACGTGAGGACCTTCCTCCAGCCCTGTTTTCTTTATTAAGTCCGTGTCAGCTATCTTCCCCTTACCATGACTCATACCCAAGACGATCACTTTATAAAGAGAAAAGGTTTGCTTCAGCTCACAGTTTGGGAAGCTACGGTCCAGATTTTGGGTCTCACGGCAGGTGCACCTAGGAGAGAAAGCTGCTTACCTCATGGCCAGGAAGCAAAAAAAGAGGAGAAGGAGGTCCAGCAAGCTCTTGAGAGCATGCCCCCAGCGATCTCTTGCTAGGCCTCAACTCTCAAATTTCCCCCCAAGGACACCAAGCTTGGGACAGAGCCTTTAGCACATGGTCCTTCTTGGGCCATGCAATCTGGTTTTCAAAAATAATTGGATCAGTGGTTGTAGCTCCATGGTGGAGTGTTTGCCCCCCATGTGTCGGGCACTGGGCTCAATCCTCAGCACCACATAGAAACAAACAAATTAATTAAAGGCATTGTGTCCATCTTCAACTAAAAAAAATAATTAAAAAAATAAATGGATCATTTGGGGGAGATTGTGGATTGGATTAGATTTTCTTTCCATCCTTTCAATTGCCCTGTGATGGCCAGAACAAGACAAACCTGCCCCTGAGCACAGAGGGAATCTGTAAGGTACAGGATTTGCTTTCTGGATTCATGACGAGGAGGGAAGATGAACATAAAGTGGGGGAGGTCAGGATCTAGCTGGAAGCCACAAGCAAAAGATGGACACTCACAAGCCCGGAACAGAGCTTGTGTCCACTCTGCTCCTCTGCCCACGATGATGGGCATATCCTGAAGAACCCAGAGCCATTTTTCCTGGTGGTAAACACACACACCCTGGCCCAGGAGGCAGCAGCTGAAGGAAACAGAGAGAAATGGCAAGCCAGGTGCCACTTCACACCACGGAGCTGGTGAGCCACAACACAGCAGCTGCTGTTCCTTTAACCCTGTAAATGATCCGAGAATCTTCTCTGTGGCCTGTATCAGTTTCCTCTGGCTGCTGTAACAAACACACAATCTGGCTGGCCTACAACACCAGACACTTGTTTTCTAAAGTAATACTTTTGGAGGCCAGAATGAAGTTCAAAATTACAGTATTAATCGTGCTCTTTCCAAAGCCTCCAGGGGAAGATCCTTCCTGACTTCCTCTAGCTGCGGGTGGCTCCAGTCATTCTTTGTTTTGTGGCCACATCATTTTAACCTCTGCTTCTATCTCTACACAACCTTCTTTTTTCCTTTGTCCTTTTCTTTTGCATTTTATAAGGATATTAATTGCAGAACTTAGGGCCCCTCCAGGTAATCCATAGTGATCTCTCATCAAAATTCTTTTTTAAAATGAAATCTTCTAGAACCCCCTTTCCAAATAATGACACATTCACAGGGTCCAGGAGGACATATCTTTGGTAGGGCCACCAATAAACCCACTAACTGTCCCAAGAAATGTATCTCATCCTAGAAAAGAGCAGGGAGACAGAGAATGGAAGACAGTCATAAAGGTATATTTATTTTATTTATCCAGTGGCCAGTATGGACACTGGGGCGCCCACTGGGGAACCCTGGAGCCAGTGCAATGCATCCTTCAGAGTTATCTTACTCATTGAGCAAGGAAGTTATATACCAACTCCTGTCAGTCCTTGGTTAAGGAGTGACTTATGGGGCATTGATTGTCTGTGTCCATGGGCAGAGTAGACGCCAGTCAACAGAGGAATCTCTCAGACAAATATCAATTTGAACCAGCAAGTATGTGCTAAGATGATAAGGCCTGCTGGGATAGATTCAACATTGTGCTCCCCTGTGGACTCCACCTTCTTGGGATGTAGTTACAAGGGCTGCAATGATAGAAGCCATCTTGTGACCACGAGGGTGGTGACCATGAGGGTGAGAACCACATATTAAACATGGTAGAGCAGAAAAGTTGAAGGATCTTGAATTCTGGAAGAACAAACTTGAACCACTTCCTGTTTCAAGCCGTTAAGCCCCTCTCTTCTTGTTATTCATAAAGTGCACAGTAGGTTTTTGTGAAGTATGACTGCCCCACTGTGCTGCAGAACTCTGGAATTTATTTCTTCTTTTTAACAGGCACAAGCAAAAAAACGTTCCTTAAATGAAGCTACTTTAGCTTAGGCAGTGAGCAAACTTATTTTTAAATCATATCCCAAGACAAAACAGTCAGCAACTTAGGTGTATTCTTCAAAAAGAATAACTGGGCAAGATAATTTTTGAAAAGAGGAGCAAAGAGGGAACATTTGTCCTTCTTTTTTAAATTTTGAGATATGGTCTCACTAAGTTGCTCAGGGCCTTGCTAAGTTGCTGAGGCTGGCCTTGAACTTGTGATCCTCCTGCCTCAGCCTCCTGACTCACTAGTATTACAGGTGTGCACCACTGTACCCAGCTTCATTCTTCTCTTTAATAACATGTTTAAAACCTGTATTCCTCAAGGCATTGCAAACTTGGCTTATTTAAATAGACATGTCAAGACTATACTTTCAGGGATCATTTCTATAGTATGTTAAATAGACATGTCAATGCAGCACAATAATAAAAAGAAACCCAGGGAAGTTAGAAGTGGATATAAAAGTGCTCAATACTTGGTGCAGAAAGAAAGGATTTTGAAATAAACAGTGCTTGAATCCTTCATTGTTAATTGGAAGCAAATCAAGGTAAATTCCTGTCTATTGCCAATCATTATAATACAGTGAAGTTGGCCAGAGGATCTCAAGCTGGCTCACAGGAGAAAGTACAGATGAACACTTGGAGCATAAACCCAGGAGGAAGATAAAGAAAGGAATAGAACTGAGAACACCATGGACGAATTCACACATGTTAACCATGAGTAGGGAAAAAAAAATTAAAACAAAAAAAGGAAACCCAGGGAACATATTTAGAACATATACGGCATTATAAACAAATCAATGTAGATAAATTTGTTTAAAATAATTAAAATGAAAATATTTAATATGATATCTGATCCAAGGAGGGGAGCCAAAATAGAGAAGGAATAACAGCCAGGAAATCATGACACCATGTTCGAGTCCATCAAGGGATCACACTGTCACCGAATGTGTGCCACGTGGTCAGTTAAACCTCAATAAAGCAGGAAAGAAGAAGGGACACAGCTACATGAGAGTACTCACCATCGAAGGAAGTGGAAGTACTCCCATTTTTTCGATGTTTAATAATAATTATTATTATTATAAAGTTAGTCCAAGTTTCCACACCATCGTGCCTAAGAGAAAGAGCTGCTTATCCATCCCTGGGTTTGAACTCTGTCCTCACATCCGAGACCTTGACTTAGAGACCCATAACCTCTTACTTCTTTATCTACAAACAGGAGGAAAGGACACTGACCGCAGCTGCTGTTGGGACATGGTTCACCTGTGTTGTCTATGGGCTCACATGTGGAAAGTGTTCTTTCCTGTTGTGATGTGGGAAGGGGGTGGAACCGTTAAGGGGTGGAGCCTATGCAAGTGTGGTCATCTGAGTCAGTGTGCAACCTGGTCAGTGTGGTTCTGCTCTTGGAAGGAATTCATGCGGGTT